CCTTATGGCTCTTCTCTCAAAGGGATACTAATACCTTCCCAAATGGATACTGATGATCCCATCAAAGCTCAAACCAACCACCAAGCTCTCGAGGCAGCCGCCAGCAAGCTCTTGTTCAATAGATCCAGCACCACCACGTGGCCGGCACAGATCACCAAACCGATAACCAACACCATCGACTCCACCAAAACCTTCCATGAAACTAGAACTAGCAACAACAACGTTTATGGCGGTCTCAAAAGGAAGCCCACGTGGGATCCATCTCTTGATCATGGTTCCAACAAGAAGAAATCGCTGGACTTGGATCTGTCCCTCAAAGTGAAGAATGTGGTTGAGGAACATGATGACGAGGTTGTTGTTGTTGTTACTCCAAGAAGCTGCGACGTGGTTAAGGAAGGTAAGAGCGGCTATTATGGTGGTACTACTGATCGTGAAGTTGTGGATGAGAGTAGCTTGTCCCTTTCTCTATCTTCATCCTCGTCCTCGAAGCCAGCCATCGGGTCGAAGGAAAGGGATATGTTATTGGGTTACATGAACAACTTTCGCGGTGGAGGTTTTATTAGGAGTCGTGAGGATTGCAACACGAGTAGTTACGATGGTTGTGTTAATAAGCGTGCCCGGGTGATGGCAAGTACTCTTGATCTGACTTTGTGAATGAGGTTAGACTATTCTGAGTGAGATCTTGAGGTACTTGCTTTTCTTCCCCGGGAGCTAGCATTGCGTTTGTTATTGTTTTTTTGTGTCATCTTGTACCAAGACTACCCAAAAGGAAAGAAATGAAGTTAAGAAGGTATTTACATAAGTTATATATATACATCTCCCTATAAGTTAATATCTGAGCTTTTGTTGGTTTTGTTGTTTGATTTGGTTGACCATAACATATGGGTACAAGAGTGAGTATGTTGGGATGGATTTTGAAGTTAATAAGTTTTTGGGTTGTGGGCTTATTTGTCATTTCAGTCTGTCTGTCTCTCTGTGGAAAGAGGAGAATCCATGGAGATAGATGCATGGCAGAGCTAGCCAGCATTGAAGTGCTAAAAGGATCATGTGTCTGCTAAAAGACAGTAGTCTTCTTCTTTCTTTTCTTTTTGCATGGTGTTTTTATACATAGATGTGCATATAAGTTAGTGGAAAAGACAGCATTTTTGTGTAGTCTTATATGGTGCTAGAGATCTTGGATTAAAAAGTAGGTTTTTGTGTTCATCTAGGGAACATTTCGGGAAGTGACTGTTTGTGGATACATACAAGTTTTGGCCCCGATACAAGACATAAACCTAGGTTGTTTTTTTGCTGAGGGGAACATAAACCTCTAGCTAGGGTTTTTTTTTATATGAGGGGAAATGAAGAAGTTTTCTGCACATAGGTATCCTCAACAAGGACAAATGCTCCTTTTTGGGTCAAAACAATTGCACTTGGAATCACACAAATCCATCCATCGTTTTTTGGAACTAGCTAGCTAGTGATTTCATCAAGTCTATAATATGGCCAAGAACATGCATGCATATCTATGTGTTCAAAATTTCAACCCCATCTTGGTGGTTGACTATCTCAATTTGTACAACGTTTGAGAAATGTGAAGGGTATGCGAATAGTTTAGAATAAGTTATCGCGCATTTTCTGACTTATCGTTTGTATTGAAGTTCTGATTAGTATGCCTATCTTAATAAGTCGTTAGATTGTCATTCAAAGGACGACTGAAGAAGTCTGGAGGAGTGTTTTACTCATACAGTCATAAGTGTTCAATGAATCACATGTAGTTAGGTTTTTCCCCCAACTAGCTAGGTTTACTTTGAGCAACAATATTAAAGAGCCAGCTGCTGGTAGGCATTCCTTCAACCACAAAAGAGAAAGTGATATTGATATGCATGCACGTGTGGCCTCCTCCAACTTATTGTGAAATCATGGCTGTCTTTCTTTTCTTCTGCCTACTTTCTCATGAGCAATGTGATTGCTTTCTTCATTATACACACAACCAATGAATGGAAGTTGAGCTCTTTAATATGTGGCAATGGTCTTTCGGTTGAGTATTCTGATTTTCTTTTTGTCTTTGTAATGACGAGTGAATGTTGGATTGAAGGTTTTTACCTACTTGATTTTTGTATACTTACTCATTTTTTTTTATATAATTGTATATACTTATTCATTAATACAGACAATTCAATAACCCTAATTTTTCTATGAGTGATAGTATGTAATATAAATAAGTCACTGTATACAAAAAGACTTCATTCCAACCCAAAAAACTAACAAGACGATGATTACAAGTGTAAAAGGAACACGGAAGAAATGTTATTTGGTATCTAGCATCTTCATCATACATGTCGGAGTACCGTTTTAACCTAAAACGTTATTCATTTACAACGAATCAAGTGAATTTCAAAGACTAGCCCAACCATAGTATAAAAACTAGTATGAGTTAGGCTTTGTGATTTGAGCTTTTGGCTCAAGACAAAGAACCAACAACGAAAAACATACTATGCTTCTGAGGTGGAATGATGTTTATCTCGCCAAAGAGGCCGATACGTGCAGGAGCCTGCCACAACATCATACCACGCTCATGTATGGTACAAGGTCTGCCTCGTAAGGAGGCGACATGAGGCCAACCATGAAAATAACATGCTAAACATCGTCAGAGGCATATCATAAATTCAAACTGCATATATATATATATATGAACTATGTTTGATAACCATCTCTATTTGAAGTCACAGCCAAATCACTGAAAATACAAAGAGTAAAACTTTTCCAAAACTAATCGGATGAAGCTATATATCGATCTCAATCTCATCCATGGCCAACAAAGGGGCAAATTAATCAAAGTTGTGGGTATTAATGGTCCTAGGAGAGCTACAAAAGTCTCAATTGCTCTACTTCCACTCCACCCCCCTTGAAAGAATTTATGAGAGGGATTGTAATAAAGAAAACAATGAACAAGCTATAGCTAGCTAGCTAAGACTTAACCGCAGCAGTCACAAAACCATTTGGAAACTTCATATATCTCGCCGTTGTTTCCATTGCTTCTTGGAAGCAGCTGTCAATTTGCTCTGTAATTCAACAGATGAATTTAATAAGGTTCATGCACCCACCTCACCCGCCATCTATTTCTACACTATCGCAAATTTTCAACGATGCTACCGCCCGACAGCTTAATTCTCAGAATTAGAGTTACCTTGTTAGAATTGCCGTTTGAAGAATAGCTACAGGCTCGAAAACGACCACCTTGCCAAAATGACACACATCTCATTTATATTCCACAAGTCAAGCATCAGCCCTACCCAATCCAAGAATTTCCATTGACAAGTAAAGATATATATATATACAAATTAAGGAAAAATATCCATCCATATATGCCTTTTTAATTATAAGAATAGCCCTAATGCTTTTATTATAATTTTATTATTCATAATAAATTTAACAAATCCTCCGGCTAGCAACTTCTCATAATAATAATTCCCATTAATTATTATGTGGAAGTCGTTTTCCACGCAACAAGAAGATTCCAATTCCAAAGGCCAATACGTACCGTCCAAACCCTAGAAATGACTCTTAACTTAATTGCATTATTATTCTTGTCAATTGAAGAGGAGTTGTTTAAACATGGGAAGGGGTTTTTTTTTTATATAGAAAACATGGAAAGGTCTTCATAATTGAAAGTTGAAACTAATTACCAACAAAGAATAAAGAACAACACTTCACGAAAATGACTTTGTTCTCTTGTATATGTTTGGTTGAATCTCATTTGAATCTTCGATTATCAGTCAACACTTTCTGGCCACGGTTGATGAAATTGGGGGAGAAAGAAAACACAAGCTTAAGGGGTTATAGTTAAAAAGACTTTGTTAAGGACCGTTTTCTTGATAAAGTCCAATAACACAAAACAACACAATCAACCTTGTCGATTATCATATTAGGCGACGGGGGAGTTCAAATCCCTAATAAACAAATATGCTTCCAGGGAGAGGGTATGCGTAGCCGCCAATCCTTTCTTTTTCAATGTCTCTTCTTGCTGTGTGAATGCTTTGAAAAATACCTAGCTAGTCCCAAAAGTTTATATTATGTGAAGGGGCCATATTGATCGATTTGGTAGATTTCAGGCATGTCTATTGTCGAGTCATGTTGTTAGTGTCATGCATATTCAACAGGTGGCAGTTGAGACTGCGAGCTCCCCCTCGATATCTAGTACGGACGGGTGGTGTTTTGCTTTAATGATTAACAATCCGACTGTTCGTCACTTTGTGCAGAGGAAAATTTTTAAAGATGGAATCGATGTTTGTTTGAACTAGTAAGACCTCTTCTCTCCACTTTCACGTATGTATATCTACTTCTGGGTACGGTAATACTCCTAGGTCGCAATCCAAAACGTAAGTGTTTTTGGTGCATGGATCGTATGTTTGGCATAACAGTTACCAATGTTTTCGTGCATTCTCTACGGTGTACACAACATATAATCTCCATTTTTTTAAAAATCTTGAACGATGCCTATTTGTATGATTAGATATGGTTAGGGAAGAATGTGTATGGAGAGGACTTTTGGTAAGATGATATAACACTGTTCATTGGTAAGTCCATTGCCTCAACAACCTGCAGGGCAGCAGGGCTCTAGTAGGATAGGTTAATCAAGCCGGCTCTAATTTGGAATTTGGGCTGAAACCTTACTGGACCTGGACTGGACGGGGGAAGCCCAATTGCTGAGTGATATCTGGATTTCTGGCCCGGTTTTAGTAGTTGCTTATTTGGACTGAAGCCTCGCCATTCCTAAATGAGGCTTCCAAAGGAGACTGCCTACGTGATAAAAGGCCGGTGGGTCCGATAAACCAAAGGCAGGCCCATAAATACTTCCTACACGGATGTCCGAATGGGCCAAAATTAGAATGAGAATGGACTAGTTGTTCATATCCTTTCTAAGGTGGACGCGTGTCACAGCCGTCCAATAGAAAGCGGTCGTATATTTCCTATTTCCCCAAACAAAGCCGCTTGCTTTATTCCCCTCAACGGCTCAGCCTCGGTATATCCTCCAAGCATCTCTCGGCTTTATCCCTCTCCCAACTTCCCACCACTTCCACACCCTCCTTCCATCTTCTTCATCCGCCATTGCTGTTCGTTTCTTCCAAATTCCCTTTCTCCTTCTGTTCTTTCCCCCCCAACAGCTGTCTTCCTTGCTCCTTTGTTTTCCTCGCCCACCGTCGGCCGTTGCAGCCATGGCGACGGGCTCCGGCGCCGGCAACGCAATTCGCAACGGCGCCCTTCTCCCCTTTCCCAACTCCAGACTTCTTGCCATTCCGCCTTCATCTGCAACCTCTCTTCTCCTCCGGAGGCCAGCTCCTCAGCCGTTCTCGTCCGTTTCCTTCTCTTCTTCTACTTCTTCTTCAGCAGAGCAGCATCCCCCGCCATCGCATCGCGTCTTCCGGCACTCCCGCGTCTCCACCGCGACTGTGGAGTGCGATCCTTCAGCTCCCGACGACTTCAATTTCCAGCAGGAGATATCTCGACTCAAGGCCCTGCGGTCGAGGCTCGCCAATTGCGGCGGCAATCTCAGGGGGAAGCTTCTCGTCCTGCAGAGCGATTCCCGCGTGAAGCAGTTCTTCGGCTTCAAATTGGGGAGGTCTAGGGTTTTGGAACTGCTTGATTTGGACTCCGAGGACTTGTTCTTGCTTAAGAGTTTAGTCGCTGCTGGTCAGGAACATGTGCTTGGTTTGGAGGCGGTGGATGGTAATGCCGAGGCTGGGAGTGGGAGTAATTCTCTGAAGACTGCTCTGTATACTCTGGCGGAGATGATCGAGAGGTTTGACTTAGGAGGTCCGAATGGTAAGCGCTCGTTGGAGAATAACGGCCACGGCGTGCACGTAAGAGATGAGGAAGTTAGGGACCTGAAACGGCTGTTGAAGAACTTGAGGGAGGTTGAGAAGTTCTATGATTGCATTGGAGGGATCATCGGGTGAGTTTCGAATTCTCTTTTCAATTTCTAGGTTCACAATTAAGAATCGTATAATAGGAAAAACTGAAGAACTGCCACTATCTTTGGGGGTTTACAGATACGAGATAATGGTGCTGGAGCAACTTGCCCATTCAACTTGTGAAAAGCAGACTACGAATTGGTCCCAACATTTAGAGGACGCCATGAATTGCCAGTGTTTGGAAATTCATACCCCTAATGGACTTGACCTTTCTAAAGATACAGAGTATGCATCTCAAGCTGCACTATGGGGAATTGAGGTTAGCATCTCAAGTTTTTTTGCTTTGCTTTAACATATGGGGGGAGAAGATGGATTTGGGATACCACATTTTGTTTGGTATAATAAGATTTTATCCTATTAGGGTTTGCCAGACCTAGGAGAAATTTATCCCTTGGGTGGCTCAGCGGATCGTCTAGGTTTGGTAGATGCTGACACGGGCGAATGTCTTCCTGCTGCCATGCTTCCTTATTGTGGAAGGACATTATTGGAAGGCCTGATTAGAGATGTTCAGGTATGAAAACTTTGTTATCAAGCTGCAAAGGAATTACTTATGACTTTGTTTGTTGCTACTTTCCTGGAAGCTTGTTATATTGAACTGGTGTTATAACCTGCATGTAGGCTAGAGAGTTCTTGTACTTCAAGATCTATGGAAAGCAGAGCATCACACCTGTCGCTATTATGACAAGTTCAGCCAAGAATAACCATGAGCGTATCACTTCTCTCTGTGAAAGACTTAAGTGGTTTGGAAGAGGTCGTTCCAATTTCCAACTGTTTGAACAGGTTTCATAAACAGCTTACATATGCCCTGTTTCTTGCCTTGGTCATTCTGTTGATTTTTATTAATTGTTGAAATATGACTTGTGAAACACCAGCCTCTTGTTCCTGCTGTTAGTGCTGAAGATGGGAAGTGGCTGGTTGCTAAACCATTTTCACCTGTATCCAAACCTGGTGGCCATGGTGCGATTTGGAAACTTGCTTACGATAATGGCATCTTCCAATGGTTTTACAATCATGGAAGAAAAGGCGCCACTGTTCGGCAAGTCAGGTTAGATTTATTTTGTCATCTTGAAGTATTTGGCCTTCATCACAAGAACAAGGTTTGACATTTTGTTTGAACTACAAATACCGCAGTAACGTTGTGGCTGCCACAGACTTGACGCTTTTAGCACTGGCTGGGATGGGCCTACGACATGGGAAAGTATGTTCAGTGGACATCTTACGTTTATGATTCTTTATTTTGCATTGCTGTTGTGGAGGTCCGACAGTTGTAATAAGCTATATATACCTATAATCTTCTTAGCTCATGTTCCTTGCAACTTTTGACTGGAATACCACAGAAACTGGGATTCGCATCTTGCAAGCAAAGCTCGGGAGCTACAGAAGGAATTAACGTCATTGTTGAGAGAATGGATCTTGATGGGAAATGGGCTTATGGTTTGTCCTGCATTGAGTACACCGAGTTTGATAAGTATGGGATATCAAATACGCCCTTTTCTTCAAACAGGTAAACATTCATTTGCTATGATGCAATAGTAATTTTCAGCGTTACTTCCTTTTGCTATATGACCAGAAATATTCCAGAGTTGCTTTCTCATTTCATATAGGCAGAATGGTGTAGCATCACTTTCTCTCTCTTTTCATTTTTTTATAAACAGTATGTGCTAAGTTTACTGCTTTCTCGTGTTTTTCAGATTGCAGAGTTTCCCCGCGAACACAAATATTCTTTATGTGGATTTACCATCCGTGGAGTCGGTAGCATCAAGCAATGATGAAAGATGCTTACCTGGCATGGTACTTAATACAAGGAAACAAATTGTGTATGAGGACCAGTGGGGAAATCGTCACAGGTAAATGCTGCCCCTGTCTTTGAGTCACCTTCCTTTTCTTTTTTACCTTCGGCTTCTCAGTCTCAGGTAGCTACTGAGTCTTTTCTGCTGCGTCTGATTGACGAATGGAATTAATTTTCATTTATTAATTGCAGCGTCCCTGGTGGTCGCCTAGAATGCACAATGCAGAATATTGCGGACAATTTTTTGAATACGTACTTATCTAGATGTTACGAGGTTGCGGAAGGTAAAAGTTCTGCTCAATTCGGCATCCATCCTTCCAGTATACTTGTCTCTATACTGGAATATTAATTAACTTGGAGCATATATCTGCAGATGAGCTGGATACATTCATTGTCTACAATGAGCGTAGAAGGGTTACATCTTCTGCTAAGAAGAATCGAAAGCATGCAGAGACTTCTTTGCGCCAGGTTACAGTCTTATTGACGTTCAGGAACTCTGCTTCTTCCATTTGTATAAATAGATTCAGGATCTGGTTTTATGTCCTTGGCTGAATTATGTTACCTGACTGTGAATATCATTCGTTTTAAACTTCAAGCCTCCAATAGTATCTCTAATATTTTCTTAATGGAGTGCTGAACAAAGCGAAAGAATTTGTGGTTGAAGTTGTAATCTTGTGTGTTCACCATTATAAAAAAAAATTGTAATCTTGTATGAATCCCTCTGTTTTTTTCAGTTTGAGTGTTTTGATTCTTGTGCAGACTCCGGATGGTGCGTTGCTGGATACCTTAAGGAATGCCTATGATATCCTCTCGGAGTGTGATATTGAACTTCCACAGGTACAGCTAGTATTTGAGTCTGTCTCGCCTTAAATAATATAAGATTTTATATTGTTTTTTACAAACTCTTGAGTCTTGCCCAGGGTTTTGAAAGTCAAATTTATGTGGCTTCCCTTCATCCTTTTTTTTTTTTTTTTGGGTAGGTTGAAGATGATGAAAAATATGTGAATTCTATTCCACCATTTCTGATTCTGCTGCATCCAGCTCTTGGTCCACTTTGGGAGGTCATGCGACAAAAGGCAGGGTTATAACACATGCTGGTTTTGTAGTTTACTGCCATTAGGCATGGCCTGGTTACTTTGAATCAAATTCTTAATTTGTCTTTTGCTCTCTCCCAGTTTAAAAAAGGGTCGATATCGAAGGGCTCTGAGTTGCAAATTGAGGTTGCAGAGTTTTTATGGAGGAATGTTCAGGTTTGAATAGATCTCCAATTCATTCGAAATTCGGGGCATGATTTATTATACTATTTTATCCTTACTCGTTCAGTCTTATCCAGATTGATGGAAGCTTAATAGTTATTGCTGAAAATGTTATGGGATCAACCAGAATGGATGAAGATGGTGAATCGATACTACATTATGGTCACAGGTGATTGATTACTTTGACACCTTATTTTCAAGGTTTATGGATATCTTCCAAATATTGCATTTTCAAGTATCTTAGCCAGTCTGTTTGTCTAGGTGTGGAAGATGTAGGCTGGAAAACGTACACATTGTTAACAAAGGGATTGATTGGAGTTGTGTAGACAATGTCTACTGGAAACATAGTGTACAACGGATTGAGGAGTTTAAGGTTGTACTTCATGGAAACTCCGAATTCGAGGCCTGCAATGTGACCATACAGGTTAAGTTCGCATATTCTCGTAGTCAAGCAAAATTATTACTTGCAGTGGGCAATGGTTATAGGGACGACCCTTGTTTGGTGAAGTCTGATATTTAGCCCTTTCACTTCTCACTCTTCTGCAACTTTGCCCTTACTGTTTCAGGGAAATCATGTTTTTGAAGTTCCAGACGGCCACAAGATGAAGGTAACCTCTGCCGGAGCTTCAGGTTTAGAAGTGAAGCTCGACCCTATAGAACCTAACAAGATTGACAGTGGAAGCTGGTTCTGGAACTACAAGGTGCAAGGCACACATATCTTGCTGGACTTGGTCGAGACGAAATAGACCGATTTACTCGCAAACCCCATCCCGTGTGAATCACAGTTCACTCAAAGGGACTCAGAAGAAGGATCTTGTCAGCCCTTGCTGCATTAATCAATTTGGTTGTAACCTAAGTTAAACCATTTGCACACACCAGATCCTCATTGTAAAAAAGAACTTAATTCTACTTAGAAGAGCCTTGTATTTAACCTTCTACAGCTCACAATGTATGAAGCTGTTTGATGTAGTTATCCATCCAATTCCTGTATCTTTGTAACAACAGAAAAGAACCAAAAAAGAAAGTTCGTAACATGTATAAGATTACAGCAAATTCACAGTTTCTCCATCTAAGAATCAAGTCAATTCCCCATGTTTACAGAATGCTGCGAATGAGAGCAGCATCGATTCAACAACCTGAGCAAAGCATCAGCCTTCCGCCGCGCCTTCAACGATCCGTCGCTCGACAAGCTCTGCAGACAAGGAATGCTTCTAGGGTTCATCAGCAGCCTTCTGGCCACTTCTTCACCACCATCTTTACACAATCCCAGTAGCAGGGTAATGGCATTCTCCTTTCCTTTCGCCGATCCGAATCGCAACAGATCAACAAGCAACGGCACCAGAATCCTGCTCTTCCTCATCTGTTCCAACCCTTCACCACAACCCAGAAGCAATGCCAGAACCGCCAGCGCATCATCCGTAATCCCGGCCTTATCATCCATCAACGCCTCGATCAACAACGGCACGGCGCCGCCGCCGACAACCCCTGCCTTGTTGGCATTGTACACCGCCAAATTGAACAGCGCACTCGCCGCGTCGCGTTTCCCTGCCGTGGTCCCTTCCTTCAGCAAACCCAGCAGCGCCGGAATCGCCCTCGGCCTGCCGCCGATGCTCACCTTGTAGCCGTCGATCATCGACAGGCTGAATATCGCCGCCGCGGCATTCTCCCTGGCTTCCATCGTTTTCCCCGTCTCCAACACCGTTATGATGCTGTCCACGGCGCCTCCCGACGCCGTTATCAGGACCTTGTTGTTGTCGTAGATCGACAAATTGAGCAGCGCCGTGACGGCGTTCTCCTGGATTCGCGCGTCGCTGGATCTCAGTAACGACGTCAGGAACGGAATCGCCCCTGCCTCCGCGATCACCCTTCGGTTGTCCATCCCGGTTTTGGCCAGCAGCCTCAGCTCGTAGGCGGCCTGGTTCTGGATCTCGGTCGAACCCATAGCCAGCTTCCCCACCAGAAATTCCGCCGTCATTTTCGCTGCTTCGGCTGCCGATTTCGTGACCGAGATGTGGTCCACCGCACCAGCAGTGGACGAAGACGACGTCTTCGTCTTGCTGCTGCTGCTGTTGTGGTACGTCTCGGGCTGCTCTGACGACGAGTGATCGTCGAGCAGCGAAACGTTGTTGTCCTGGCACCATTGATGGACCAAACTCTTGAGAGCATAGTTAGGGATGAGTGCCATGTGAATTAGCCTCTGACCGCTCTTGGGACACGTATGGTGCCCCGAATTGATCCATCGCGCGATCGAATTTCGATCGTACGTATGGCCAGAGGCCACGATCACCGGATCGATCATCAGGTCGAGTGAAATCGGGCAACGAAACTCGTCGGGAAACTGTGGGGAAGAACAGGATGAAAGGTCTTGAAGTGTTCTTGAAGAAGTACTGGAACGCTGCTGTTGGCTTGTGGAACAAGTTTCCTCTTTTGGAAACCCACGACTGTCTACATCAAGTTCAACCATTGATTTCGAGTAAGTCAGAAGCGAAACGAGGTTTCTAATGTTGGAAACAACGATCAACCCTCCGGTCCCGGCCTGATTACGAGCTTCACCCTCTAATCTCGAAATCTCACCCTCGAAATCGACCGCAGTTTTCAGCCCGATGCTGACGAAAACATCCTTGACCCTCACGAAATCGAAAACCCTGTCATTCTTCTTGGCAATAACAGAACAAACCATTTCCTTTCTCTCAATCTCCTTAGGATCGACGAACAAGTCCAGCCTCTTGACCTGCCGGTGGAGAAGCTCTACCTGTTCTCTAGTATCAGGGCTCAACCTCAGCAGGCTGAGAGGCAGGATATCCAGAGCTCGACCCATGTCCTTGACCAAGACATGGAACTGATTCGACACGAATTCGGTCCGAATCAGCTGCCACATCGAGCTCGATTCTCTGCACTCTTGGATCAGGAGCTTGACCTTTCGAATCACGGAGTATAGCTCAGTGAGGCAGAGGATCGACGACGGAGGGAGTGGGGATCTTGAAGAATTGTCTTGGATGTCCTCGAAGAGGGAGGAGAGAAGCTTGATTCTCCTGATCATGGTGGAGATGTTCTTTGACTGAACCGGTGGAATGTTCTCCATTGTTGTGACTTCATTGGAGAGGTTGATCAGAGATTCGAGGAGCGGCCCTGTGGGCAGGAAGGCAGAGGTAATCATGGTTGAAGGAGGATTAATGCAGCAAGCTGGTTGATTACATGAATGATTGTGTAGCACAGAGAACCTGAGAAGTGAAGGTATATGTATGAATCTTTGTTCAGAAAGAAAAAGGGGAAATATGAGAAGACATTAGATGACTGGTTCTTGTTTGTCTTGGACCGTTTGGAGTATTGGAACGACTTGAAGAAATTGTCTTCATCGATCAATGTTTACTAATATATTATCTTGGTCCAATCACCTTGAGAATATTAATCAATTATAATTCAGATGGAAACAAATCTGTGAGCACAACAAAAATCCTCCTTACCAACTATAGAATGCGAGCAGGGGTTTGCAAATCGAAATGGGTATTGGGTTGTTTCACGCCAGATCAAATCGAATTGGGTGAATATCTGATTCAAACCGGATTGAACGGTATATAAATGTGCTTCGGATTTCAATTTTCACGAATTTTTTTTGATAATTACGGGAAAATAGAAGAAATCGAAATTCAAATTGGAGGAAATGTACTTTAAATTTTATTTTACGCTTTAGCTTTTTTTCTTCCATCCAATCCGATCTCGATTCGGTCGATTTCTGAACCGATTTGACCTAAATAAAGCAAATTATACTGTAGAATTTTAGAATAGTCTTTGAGCTTGAGGTAGTATTATATGTGCAAGAGATTAGGAGAACCAACCATCATTCCTCTTCACAAAATAATAAAGAAATGAATTGTTTAAAAAACTTGCATGGTTCTTGACGGTTTCTTCTTGTACTCAATGTGGTTGGGTACTAGAGCCGATTTGGAAGTCGTGGGCTGCTGCCACTTGGAGAGCACCTGTGGGTTTGGTTTCCTTACATATAATAAAATAAATTATATACTACTCCCATTATTTTTTATTATCTTTAACCATTCAAACCCTACATTGGAATGAAACCTTATGCATTTTTTTTTAATTCCCTCCAAAATTAATTCCGCAGTTGGATTGTTTAAGGTGTAGGCATGGGGGGACGAACCTTAGGTTGGGATCACTTCCTAAATTTGGAGGTTGTTTGAACCGTTGAAGTTGTCAACTTCTTGCCTCTTGGCATTTATTGGAGTGCTCATTTGGTCTTATTAATTTCTAATAATGTGTATATAGTAGGCATGTCTAAGCTATGAATTGAGTTTAAGTATGCAATGAAGTGGTTAAGAATATAGTAACCAGTATGTGTTCATGATTATCGAACTGATGCGAGCTGTAAACTGACATCAAACTTTTATAGTCTTAGCGACAGCAGAAGACAAAATATTAGGAGTACGGACATCTCCGTATTGGCCACTCATGATTGTTGAAGAAAATGACTAAGATCGTATTGTTTTTATATCATTTCATGAACCATCTGATTTCAATAATTTAAATTGTTGGGAAAGATTCTGGTATGAATCTTGACCACTTTTCTTACATGCTCGTCAAATGAAAGCCAACTTATAAATTTAAAAATTTTGTATAAATATGTCATATCATGTGCTTTAAAACACGGATTAATATTTAGAGTATATATATTTTGAGTTGTTCGATTTGGCTAGACGGCCAAACAAGTGGACGACGACCATGTGATCATTTGTCGTAGCAATTGAATAGTGCGACTTTCGACTGATGGTATGTGAAAATGAGGGCTGCCTTTCGTCCAAAAGGAAAAATAGTGTGGTCCGATCCTCTTGTTTCGCCGTCTATATATACAACAAATTTGCCACCACGTTGATGTTAGGGTTTATGAGATAACCTTCATGATGGGTATTGGTAAACCTTATCTCACCTTTTGTTTTCTACAAATAAATAATACCAATTTCTTATGGATTCACATCGAAGATCAAGAAAGGGCATGCAGAAGATCCAATCGAGTAATTAACAAATCTAATGTATGCTACTTTGCAAGAAGCAATTCTAGCAGCGTGTGAACTCGAAGTTGTGTTCTTCAAAAATAAATTCACCCTCAGATTTGTGGCTAATTCTTGATTGATATACACTCATCAAAATACAAGTTTATTTCGAAGTATAGGTTGAACTATATTGTATAAGAATGGAAGTTAAAAGTTAACTTTGATAAAATATTTTGAAAATAGTGAGTGAGTTTATAGCTATACATGTTGTATTTGGTCAAATTTAGTAATCAGTGACCAACATATGCTAAGCCAAACTTGAAGGTTTATGTTACTTCATATAGAGTATACACCAATTGTATTGTGCCCTTTTTATGGAAGACAATATTTATTATGTTTGTAAATGGTATATGATACACGATTGAACATTTCCCAATAATTCGAGTTATTGGGATAAACTGGTTCTTAACATGGTATCAGAGCCTTATGTGACCGAAAGATCTTGTGTTCGAATCCCGGTGACCCTGTTTGTGAAGCACATGGTATCGTGTATTCAGAAATGTGCACACGAAAGCCCTATGAAGTGACTGGCTTTCGTTTGAGGGGGTGTGTTAGTGAATGGTATATGATCCACGATTGAACCTCTCCCAACAACTCGAGTTATTGGGATCAACTAGTTATCGACATGTACAACATTGGTGGTTTGTAAGCTCCACCTATAAAAATGATTATATGCTATGCACTCTAATCTAGAATTAGCATTTAACTATCAAGTTATCAATTTTAATTGCTCATATTAGCCGACTATGATGATATATTAACTAATACATGCATTATATATATATATATATATATATATATATATATCATAATCCCACATTTAACCTTAACTATACTCGTGAACCTTAAATAATTTTCATGCAAATTCATCCATTTTCTTTGTAATGGTATTACAATTAATTATTGAGATCGTTTTATGCGAATCACATGGTTCAAATGACGACTATTAAACAAGTGTATAACATGCATTAGAAAAATGAATGGGATTAAAACAAAATCGATAATACTTATCTATCTTCCATTGGTTTATTTTGTAAAGGTACATGTCTAGTGCTGAAGTGGTGGGCAAAGTTACAAGTGTCGAGTTAGGGGATGATGAATTCAGATCGGACTCAATAATTTGTGTGAGTTCATGATCAATAATACATCGTTGTCCGTCTTGCAATGAACAGAAAAATGAAATGAAAGTTCAGAAGCTATAGATAGGAAGCTAGCTATCTGATCATAGCTCATACGTGATAGGGCTGTGGAAAGGGTGATAATATGAAGCAAACTTATTGATTGTGGTTGAAATGTTAGGGGAATTATTCTGATATGAGATATTTTTTGCTACCGATTTTATTAGGATGGTAATTATGGTATACGACTTGATTTATTCGGACTATGAGTATTATCCGTCGCATCACGACTTCCTTTAAATATGATTTATTTTTATGATAAGAAACAAATGATGCGTCAAAATTACATGAAATTCTTCCTGACGATGAGGCTGAAATCAATAACAAGACATGTCTTGATATTCATTTTGACCATGAAGAATTGAATTTAGGAAAAAGTTTGAGAATCATAAGAAAAGGTCTAAGAAATAAGTATTCATGAACATGTCTTTCATATAAATAATATATTTTGTCCGCAAGACTCTAATTATTATGAAATCTTTATTGTTGAAATCAATCTTCAAGTACAAGATGTTTAAGATAATAAAATCTTGCAACTTAAGTCTTCAGCTAAAGTTTTAACATTTTTTCTACATTTCTTATATACGAATATAAGGTTTGATAAAAAGTAACATTGATTATAAACTCGATTGAATCATGACCAACAACAAAAGGTGACAGTGGCTTCGACATTATTCACCGCTTACACAATTACCATGGGAGCATGCAATGCATCGTCTCTAGCTTTCATCTTCTCTCATATGAAATTTGTCCAATTTTTTTGTCTGCCTTATGTATAGCAGCAAGTGACAAAGCATTTATGTGACTGTTTGTTTGTTTACGTGCGAGACAAAAACAACTATTTTCCCCAGTGTAAAAGAGGTAAAAAAAAAACAACAGAAAAGAAGAGGTAAAAAAAAATGTAGGGGCAGAAGAAGAAGAAGAAGAATTGGGTTTTACTCACTCAGTACTCCACCTTCTCCTAGTGGAGTTGCTGTAACTCATTGGCTCCACTAATTTGTTGGTGTAGAGAGAAAGAGAGAGAGAGATTCCCTTCATGATCATCAAGTAGTCATTTCACTTCAGTCCCAAAAGGATTGCCCTTATTGTGTCTGGAAGTGGCCAACTTTTGATGAGTGAGAGGGGCAGTGCTTGCCCTTTTCCTTGCTCAAGTTTCTTTCTTTCTTTCTTTTCCAATGGAGGAACTGCAACCCCAGCAAGCAAATTGCAATGAGATATCCCATCCTTCAATTTTACTTGTGGGTGATCCATCATGTCTCATCTTGACACTTCACCACCAGATATGGGTCTTCCCCCACTCACCACTTCCCTCAAAACTCAAAAGATAGCTTTAGATTTCATAAAAAAAGAGACAAAATTTTTTTGGCCCATACAGGTCTCGAACCCGTGACCTTCGCGTTATTAGCACGACACTCTAACTAGCTGAGCTAATAGGCCTTGATGTCAATAGAGTGAAAACACCGTTATATTTATAGTTAGACTACAGCACAATCCTATTGATTCAATCGTGTATTTGTCCCTTGTCAACCCAATTGCCACACGCTCAGTCTGATTGAATGGTTATATAAAGGCTGGCTGGCGGGGAAGCAAGCCAAGAAGCACGCACCTAAAACTAAAAAAGATAAGGCTATTTGGGGAATGTGGTTTTCTTCTCTGCGAGAGAGGAGGGCCGCAGCATCATGAGAAATCATCATCATCAGGAGCCTCGATCAAGCTCTTCATGCGCAGCTTGCAAGTTCCTCAAGCGACGCTGCACTTCCAACTGCATCTTCGCTCCGCATTTCCGATCCGACGAGCCCAAGAAGTTCGCCAAGGTCCACAAGGTCTTCGGCGCTAGCAACGTGAGCAAGATCCTGACTGAAGTGCCCGAGGAGCAGCGGGAAGACACGGTGAATTCCTTGGCCTATGAGGCCGAGGCCAGGCTCAGAGACCCTGTCTATGGCTGCATTGGCGCCATAGCCCTGCTGCAGAGGAGAATGGTTGAGCTCCAAGTCGATCTTGCCCTCGCCAGAGCTCGTCTGGCTCGGTGTACAGCTTCTGTTACATCTTCTCTGCCTAACTCTGCCTCAGCTTCCATCGCCGGAATGGAAAATCTCGGTGAATGTGAATTCCCGGTGGCCTGCGGTGGATTGATTGATGGGTTTGGCAGTAATGATAATAACCAGTCTGAGTGGAGCCAAGATGGACCCGCCGGCAGCGATTTCGGGCAATTCCCATATATGTTCTGATGTCGTCTTCTGCAATCTGCAGTACTGTTTATCTACTTTTTGTATAAACCTTGAAGGGTGGAAATGAAAATGCAGGGGACTCTGTTTCTTCCATGATCAAAATCAGCGTTTGTTGCTCTTCTTCTTCTTCTTCCTTTCCCATGTATCCTGTAAAGCAGAACCATTGATGTGAAGAAATTGCTGCTCTCAAACTGGAAGTCAACATAAAGACGGAAACGGATTTCTCTCCCTTTCGTCGGATTCATAAGTAATTCCGATGTTCATGAATACCCAACAAAGAAGAAATGGTAAAATCAGTCAAGTGGCCATCACAATTCACAATGCCGAGCATTGGCTAATGATGTCGCCTCATCAAGTCCTACCCCACGAAACAAGCAAGGCCACACCCCGCCGGTTCACTTTACGTGGTGGGCAAATAGGAATCCAAAGATTGTCAGCTTTTTAATTGTTGCTCTCATCTCAGAAAGCAAGTGGTGTCAGCTTCCAGAGTTCACTTTAGGGTACGTTTCAGATATTTCTCCTTTTGGTCTCAACCACCAGCAATTGGGAAGAACACTGTAGAGGAGTTTGCTAGCAACTGCAAAAGAAAACCATCCATTTTGAGCAAGCTCTGTAGCTTTCACCACAGATGAAATGGTAAAAAAAAACTGGGGATGACTCTGTATCTCCATTTATGCAGAGACATAATTCAAGGGGACACCAAGATCCAACCCAAGAAATATTGCTCGAGGTGAAGGGAAGGTGGTGCCTTTATTGCAATAACAACCTACATTACAGACCCACTCCGAATGGGAAAGCAAAGGAATGCCATTAACTACAGCAGCTGCAGTAGTAGTAGTAGTAGTACAAAAGGTACAGAGTGAGTGATTTTATCATCTCTGGATTATACCAAGTGCAGAGAAACCCGGTAGCGGAAAACAACCTAATCACATGTACAAAGGAGTTAATCGATGTTAGAACTTAAAGCCATAAGATACAAAGAGCAGTCATGTCATTCTCCACCCCAGACTTCGATTGCAGCAACAGGAGTTCGATGATTCCTTCTCTAGAGGTGTGGTTAGACAAGACCAGCAGATGTGATTCTAGTACTAAATTCCTCCCTTGTTCCCAATTAAATAGCATCCAGTTTGCAGGAATTTAGTCTCCACCTGCAAATGTAAAACTCAAGTGAGCGTCAACAACCGAAATGGTAAATTGGTTCTCATCAAAGATCACACCTTTCATTTCTCGCAGTCCCTATCTCTAACAATGGCGCAATGATGAATGTATGGTCAACTACTCTACTCATCACTCAAGTGTGCTTCTAATCATTGTTAATGTCAAAATCTGAAGGGTTGACCTTTAGCCCATAAACAGCAGGCTTGGCAAATAACCACCAAACCGAAGGACCATACTACCATAGTCAACTTCCTAGATTCATGAACTGTTCGTCAACTCTCTGCTACAATTGGTAAAGGAAGGCGAAACCAAAAAGGGGGAAACAACTGTAATGGTAGATTGCTGATGGAATTTTAACCTGACCCAGAAGCGTCTTTGGCTCGCTTCTTCAGTGACTTCTTCTTTTCCATCTCCAATTGTGCAGCCATAAACATGTTCATCCTCTCAAACTCAAGCTCCTTAGTGAATTCCATCCTCTGCTTCTCCAGCTCCACCATCTGAATTTGCTTCGAGCTTTCTACTTTCTCGTATATCTCCACGAATTTCAGAATCGCCCTCGCCAATTCCCTACAGGCAGCTCCATCGGAGCATCCTACGTCCTCCATCCGGTGCTGCTTCTTCACCGCCCTCTGGTCGAACCCTGCATCGCCGTCCCCGCCGGACCAGCTTGAATCCGACCCGCCCGACAGCTCTTCGGCAGCCTTAAGCAGAAGTGATTTAGATTGGGATTCGGATTTGGATTTGGATTTGGATTTGGGTCTGACAGTTAGGGTTACACTGCCGGCGGCGCCGGAGGCCGTTGTGGCGGAACTGATGAGGGAATCGAGGCGGCGGTAGAACTGCCACTTCGACGGCGGTGGTTTGGCCTTCTCGACCTTGTACTTCTTCTTCAAAGTGTCGATTCGGTTCTTGCACTGGATGTCGGTCTTCTTCGGTCCGCCGCTGCGCCGCGAGTTGACTTCATCGGCGACTTCCTTCCAGTCCTTCTGGCGGAGATTTCCGCCTTTGACGCTGACGTAGCGATCACCCCACGCCTCGATTAGCGTCTCCGTGGCGCCTTCGCTCCAGCAGTCTTCCCGCCCCCCGCTGCCGCCGCCGCCGCCGGTGCGGGATCGGGAGGTTGAGGGTTCCATTTTTAGGAGGAGGAAAGGAGTAGCAGAGAGATCAAGTTTGCTAAAGTGCGCTGGGTTGTCGGCCGGTGTGCGCAGGATAAGAGGGAAAAGATTCGATTGGAAGGAAGATGGGGGAAGAAAGAATGAAAGAGTGAAGGGAATGGTAGGGATCTGACGGCCGCCTACTGTTCCCGGCGGTGACGTCAGGGACTAAACTAAACTAAAGTGCTGTTTGGGAGGAAATTAATTTCCTAAAAGTTAAAAACTCCAGAACCCTTCCCTTAATAGCAATTACGTATCCATCTTCATCTATCAAATTGCCTTTAAGCGGGAATTCAAATAAGTGTTTTTCATATAATTTTTTTTTGCTGAATTTTTAATACATATAAATCTTGCTAATTATTTAAAATTTTGGGTGACAAATGCCGAGTTTGGATAATAAAAAACAAATGTGGGATTTAGGTTGTGATATTTCTATAAAAAAACAATTATGCTATTCAAATAATATTAGTGGCGAGTATCCTAAAAATTGTTATGGTATTAATTACCGGGGGGAAATGTTATGGAATTCTTTTTTTCATTTTCAATTATTCTTGGCCTTTTTATTTAAATCTAAAATACTCTTACTTTCTTAGTTTTTTTTTTCTAAAAACTTCCAATTTTCCTTTTTTTTTTCTTTCCAAAATCCTAAAGGGATATAATCTATGCATGTAATTTTGGTAAATAGAAAGGAATGGCAGAATTATCCATTACCACGATAAGCAATCAATATATGGATTTTTTTTTGTAGAAAATGTAACGGATATCATTTGTGGGTGGATTTTTCTTGAGCCCGTAGAAAATATAATCGATGATTTTTGTGCAATTTTTGTATTTTAAATACTTGCACATAACTTATAGACTATGTGTTTGTGCCACGGCGCCTCGTCAACAAGCCCACGTCCTTTTTACTTGGCGTCTGCCTACACACACGAACACGGAGGAGGGTGCCCGGGCCCGTTAGCCCTCCGACGATCAAGTTAGTATCTTAGAGAGATAAGTGCTCTCGAATAAGAGTCTTAGTGAGAGAGTCCATGTGTAAATGCTACCAACTGCCCCTATTTATACTCACCGAATTCGAGATGGATCTCCTCCACGTCACCATCACATTAAATACCTTGTACCTTCACTCCTGTCAGAAGCCTCAACCACCTTGTCAGGCTTCTGTCAGCTGGCAGGCGCCCACAGGCGGAGGATCACTTGCCAGCCTGGACTTCTTTGGCCCTTAGTGTTTTGTCTCCGTTTGAACCTAACTGAGTGTAGGAGTGAGGTTTGAGGGAGAAAGAGGGTCAAGGAGAGTAAGCAGTAGGAATCGATTATAGAACGAGGAACGAAGGTAGGGAAGAACAAGGTTAGGAGAACAGAGTCTTAGAGAGAGAAGTTTATGATTGTAGAGATAGAGTCTGGAAAATGCGATCCCCTCACCCACCGGAGTAAATGTCATATTTATAGGCTACATGGTGGTGGGTGAGTGGGTGGATTACATGAGTGGATTACATGGTGGTACGATGACATGACCACTGACATGTCAGGGATTTAAGCCACACCTCTACCTAGGACATGTCAGGGGTCCACCTATGACTGTATCTAGGGCCCTGATGTGACTCTCTCTCGGGAAGCACAATGACACTTTCTGCGGCTCCTTGGTCTGGTCTACGCTTGAACTCTTCACTTGCATGCGTAGCTTTCGTCTTCGCCGCGCGCGAGGTCTTCGCGCTGGAGCGACGTCGGTCGTGTCGCGCTCTGACGTGTCTGACAGCATCGGGGGTAATGACGGTGTGTTTCCTTGGCGCGGTGAGGTCCGAGTCACATGCCCAACAGTCTCCATGCCCACCCCACCTGGCATGGAGTGGGCTTTGTGAGCTTCCTCTCCTGGAACATTGCCTTGGGCTTACCCTTAATCAAATGAGCTCTTTCTTTGGCCTTCTTTTGGGCCCCTTGCCGTGGTACCCAACACTATGCAACAAGTATGTTCTACAATCTACATCATCTCCCTTCTCCATTTTAAACCTTCATATCACTCATGAGTTATATTTATCTCTTAGACCAAAATCTTGTTCATTCCTCTTCACTTCATTTAATAATATATTAAAAATAAATTCAATCAACAATGACATTTTTAGAAAAAAATCCATATGTCAGTAATTGAAAATATTGTTTCAGGATCGAGTGTGAGCTTTAAACCAAAAATTTAGTGAACATGCCAAATCATGGATTTTACTATTTATATCATTTTTTTACTATAATTTGTAAGAAAAATGCTACATGCAAAATTATTAAAAAATTTATTATCAAAATAATATGTATATAATACGTGTTGATTATCTGGTATTTAAATGCAAATACCACATTTCACAAATGACAAATACACGGCCAAACAAGTGAACAACCTATGAAGGTTGACGCTTGGCAAGTATAAGGCCTTGGTTGGACGAGCACCAGGCCCAACAAATTAAAGTCCGAAATTGCAGCGAAAGCCCACTTATGATGTACTTGTTGGCGAAAGAAGAAGAAATAGGAAAATGGATTAAAACTTGAAGATGAAATGAGAAAGCCAAATAACAATTATCTTGGACATCGTTGTGTAAATCCACTTATGATTTTGAAATAAAACAAAGGCAAAATACACTTGTATAGTCATAACTTTTATAGTTGTGATAAATATAATTATAACTATCTGAAAGCACAAAATAGTTATTTCCGTCAATTTCTTTAACGGTGTCAGTTAACGATATTACTGTACTGACGAAAATGCTGACCTGACGACATTTTCTCAGTGAGAGTCCACGTGAATTTAAGGAAAAAAGTCAAAAATAATTTTTTTTTTTTTTTGTAATGCTCATTTAGGGTTCCGGAAAACCCCAACTTCGATTTTGGTTCTGGGAGACATTCTAATCGGTGGCCACCTCTCCATCCTCTTAAGCTCCTCAACCACCTCTCCGTCTCCTCACCATCACCTCCTCAACCTTTTATGCATCCATTCATCCATGCATTTCTCGCTAGGAACGCCCAAACTTCCCTCTCGAAACTTCTGCCAAGGCCTTGGAACAATGGAACATAGCTTCTTCTCACCAGTCGGCGCTGGTCACGGTGTCTGCAACATTGACGAAGAAGACGCCCGTCGATGATGCGATGCCGAACTCAACTCAATTGCTTCTAACGGAAAGGGGCTAGATTTGTCACACTACCATACAATTTTCGAGCTATTTTGTGTTTTCGGATAGTTATGACTATATTTGTCACAACCATGAAAGTTATGGCTATACAAAAACAAAGAGTTAATCTTCAACTATATATATAGCAGGCCTAAAGGTTATAGGTTTTAAGGTTGACAAACAGGTTTATACTGATATAATGGATTGGTAAGTAGTATGATTTTACTAGTGGTACAATCGATTCATTTTATTTCTACACAGAGACCCTCGTTATAGTTTATTTTTCAATAAGCCAATAAATAACAATTTCATATGCTTAGTATATTACATGTTTTGAGTTTGACCATTTGGTCGGAACCTTCTAGCCTAACCTTATGATACAAATTCAACTTGTACCCGAAAACACAACTGGGCTTAGGAGTAGGGGTGGAAATCGGTACGGTATCGGTATCCCAATACCAAATACCGAAATTCCGAATACCGAATTACACCCTAAAGTCAATCACAATCTCAATCCCTAAATAATTTCGGTATCCCAATCTCAATCCCTAAATATTTCGGTATCGCAATCGGTATTATCGAATACAAAATTAATTACCTTTGCAATTAATAATTAAATATATAAATTAGATTTTATTGTTTAATTTTGGGGGAAAAGACTAAGTAAAGATTCTTGAATTAGGATATTATTAAGGAAAATAGAGGAGAAGAGACATCTCAAGTTCTCGTTATTCGTAATCGTTAATTTGACGAATTCGAGACTATTATTAGTGATGGAATGATCTATGTATAATTAAATTACACTCTTGGTGGTTGAGGGTCGTGTAGTAGTGAATGAGAAAATCTAGTTGAGAGGATAAAATACACACTAGCTTATATACCGATCCCAATCCCGTAATCACTAATACCGAATAACAATTGAAATTCAATCCCAATCTCAATCCTAAGAAATATTATGTGTATTCGGTAATACCAAATATAGAGAAATTCGATACAGTATTCGGTATATCCCAAATACCGGTACCAAACTTCCAACCTACTTAGGAGCATTGTAGCATTCATTTCATGTAGGTACGTAGGTTTATATACAACCTTAACATACTTGGGCTATGTAACTAGGGAATCGGCGCGCAGCGGGACAAACTACATTGCACACAACACACGTTACCTGGTTGGACTTTTTTTCCCCTGCAGGCTACACATGACAATGGATGCCGCCAAAGATCGATCATGATGACGGAAATCGGACCGAAATCTCTGCTTATATCAAGGGAGAAATCTTGATCAAAAAGTGCTGCTGCGCCTGCTACTCGATGTCGATAGATCGATACATATAGTGACCACTTTTAAGTTGAAAAGGCATGCAGAACGTGCAAACGAAATTCAAGCCTTTCCCCTGTTTCTCCATCATCTTATCGGAAAGTGAATTGGGCCAACTAGCTTACCTTTTAATTTCCTTATAATTCACACCACCATCTCTGCATTTCCTGACTTTATTGGAGTCCTTCCATCAAATCTACAATCCGATCTTTAGTAACCAAAACGACAAGAAGCACAAAGCCAGCCCAACTACCCCTGCCGGCCGGCCGTAGTAATTGGGTTTGGTGATCATTGTCCTAAAGATCTTTTCGTCATCAATAGTCATCTGCACAGTGTTGATGATGGCAAAGTTTCTGATCCTCAGGCAATCTCTTTATGTTATGTCTGTGATCAAAATGGGACAGTGGAGGTGGCTGAAATAGTGTATGCTCCAGCCTCTCATTTCATCGGATATACGGTCTGCTCTGTATCATACGGTTTTCCAACTCTTAACTTCTACAAATACGATTGCGGTGATGCAATGGTTGATAATGCGCGCGATCGAACGACATTAACTGCTTACACACTTACTCATATCAACTATAAAAAAATCAGTAGATTCCAATAATTCGAGTTGTTGGTAAATGTTTAATTATGAATCATATATTATTTATTAACACACCCCTTCAAACAAAAGTCGACCCCTATGAGGTTAAAATTTGCACATGCAGCTCGAGATATCATGTACTTAACTTAACAGATGAGGACGATCGAGATTCGAACATAAAATATCTCAATCACAAAAAAACTGTAATATCACGTAAAGAACCAATTGATATCAACTTTCAACAAA